ATCCACACAGACAAGAGATTCCAAAGACAATGAGGCAATTTGAAGCTTACGTGAGCTAAGGAAAAAAGTAGGGGCCTGAGGACACAGAGAAAAAAATTCATCAGCCAGAAGATGAAAGGAGATGTTTGGAAAAACAAGATGTTCTATTATGTAGATGAGTTCCTAAAGGGAGCCTCTGTTAGTACTTCTCTTCCTGTTGCAGTCTCTCCTTTCCAATGTAAATTTAGGCAGTTATGGGGAGGCAGAGCACCTTTGCTGCATCTGCTGGATTTCTGTTACTCTTAACTCGAAATAATCTTTATGCCAAAGAGGCACATTTTGGGGCAGCCTGCCCTGGGCCCCTACAAAGCCATGTCCAAATTTCCCGAGACCTAAGACAAAGTACTTCCCTCCTAAAATCAGAAATCTACTTGTCCAAGTTCAGGACTTCTCCCTCCAATCAGTTATGACTTCCTCCTCAAACCTGGACACAGGCTGGCAAATGAAAATGAACATTCCAGAGATGGGTCTGCAAAGTCAAAATGTATCACAATGGTACACCAGAGTTTGCTGTTTGAAAAATGATAAATCATTTTCTATTGTGAACCAACTACTTCATAATTTATTTGCTAAGATTGAGATTTTAAGCACTGAGGTGTTTTTTTTTTATACTGGCTATTCTTAAATAGGGACTATGATATATTTACCTATTACTGGACTATTTACTACTATTTAACAATCATAAAAGAGCTATCATTTCTTGAGACTCTGTTATATTCCAGGCCCTTTAGAGATGCTTTTATGTACATTATCTAGTTTAATCCTCTCCGTGACCCTCCGAGGCAGGCTTTCACCATTCCATTTTATGTAGAGGAGAAACCAAGATTTAGCCCACTCCGCACAGTAGCTTAACCTGGGGCTACTTCAGGCAGACAGACCCCTTCTTTAATAACTGCTCTCTCCCCAGAAGAGGGTTTTACCTTAGACCAAAAATGCCCAAACTGAGCACCAAGGCACTCTGGATACTGCAGCAAATTCACAAGGGCAACTTAGGTTATTTCAAAGTTTTGAGGGAAACACAGTGTAGTCAACACGTTGGAAAATGCTGAATTACAAACCAGAATTCAGTTTTAATGTTAGATCACATTACACGCCTATCAATGACATCATACACATCTTTGCAAAACCTGGGTTTTCAGTGAATGCTGTGATAAAAAGCAAGTGCTACAGAAAAATTAACGTGGAACAGGAAATGAGAGTGGTGGTATCCAATTTAGTCCCAAGATTTAGGAATTAGTACAGGCACACACAGCCTGCTTGTAATTGGAGTTCTTTAAGAATGATATAACAATATTTTTTTCTCTCAGTTTATGTGTACTATTTTTCTAAAAATAACTTCTATGTTGTTAGGACATACATACTTAGTAAGTTGTTTGAACCTAACTGTGGTGAACTACTTAAAATTAGGGGCACTGTGGAAAGAGCCAAGATGTCCATCGACAGATGAATGGATAAAGAAGATGTGGTATATATATACAATGGAATATTATGCAGCCATCAAAAGGAATGAGATCTTGCCATTTGCAACGACGTGGATGGAACTGGAGGGTATTATGTTGAGCGAAATAAGTCAAACAGAGAAAGACATGTATCATATGACCTCACTGATATGAGGAATCCTTAATCTCAGGAAACAAACTGAGGGTGGCTGGAGTGGGGGGGTGGGGTGGGAGGGATGGGGTGACTGGGTGATAGACACTGGGGAGGGTAAGTGCTCTGGTAAGCGCTGTGAATTGTGCAAGACTGTTGAATCTCAGATCTGTACCTCTGAAACAAATAATGCAATATATGTTAAGAAGAAAAAAAAGAAGAAGAAGAAGGTAGCGGGAGGGGAAGAATGAAGCAGGGGAAATCAGAGGGGTAGACGAACCATGAGAGACGATGGACTCTGAAAAACAAACAGGGTTCTAGAGGGGAGGGGGGTGGGAGGATGGGTTAGCCTGGTGGTGGGTATTGAGGAGGGCACATTCTGCATGGAGCACTGGGTGTTATGCACAAACAATGAATCATGGAACACTACATCTAAAACTAATGATGTAATGTATGGGGATTAACATAAGAATAAAAAAAAAAGTCAACAACTCAAAAAAAATAAATCTATATTTTTAATAGTTAAAAAAAAAAATTAGGGGCACTGTGAAAAAATTACTAAGATACTAAGGGAGCCATGAACCAAGTTTAGGAATCTTTTGCCTTAATCAAGAAGTGATGGAGTTGTGCAAGATTCTCTGGGAGAGCTGTGTGACCCTGCAAAAGTAACTTAAAACAAAGTCCAAAACACAAACATAATAACCAGGAAAAGAAGAATTTGGATTAAAACCATTTTTAAAGGTTGCTCTCTCTGTCGGCTTGATCCTTCAAATCCCACACAATGTTCCCCTGGATAATTTGTATTTTAAAAAAAAAGTTCAAACACATGCACACAAATTACTGTTTTTCTCATTCTTAGGGATTCAAGCAAAGCTTTTAAAAATTATAGCCTCCAAGCTATGTCGGAAGAGACTGGGCTTCCCTTGTACAGACAGAACACACCCGCAGAGCCTGTGCCAAGGAAACCTGGGGAAAACCTTGGAAAGACAGACTGCCTCACCCCAGTACTTTGAGACTGTCAGCTTTTTTGTGGTTTGCATCCTACTCTCAATATCCTGCTTTTAAGTTCAATAAGAATGCTCCAGGTTATTGTGGAAATGCTGGTTTGTGAAATGCTTTCACAGAGCTATTTATGTAGCATATGATGTGTGAAAGCAAGGAAAAAAAATTAACACAAGCCCAACCAATGGTTCCTTGCAGGAAGAAGGAGGGCTGGAATGCCATGGGGAGAGTTACTGGGGGCCTCCAAGGTCCTGGGGATGCTCCAGTTCTTCAGCTAGGTAATGGGTACTTGAGTGTGTGGGTTCTATTCTCATTCTTTACATTGAAAATGTAGTTTGATACTTTGTGCAGGTATATTTCACAGTAGGAATAGGGAGACCTGAATTCCTATATGGTAGGTCCTCAGGAGTTGAAAGTATGCATTGTCTCCATGCTGAATTGAATCACTAGCCATTAGCCTTTACTTGGGAGTAAATGCTTAGCCAGAGGGCTCTGGAGACGCTGACAGGTTTAAATGGGAAGTTAAAGTTAATTTTTGGTACAATCACTGAAAAACAAAGAGTTAACAAATGAACATTTCTCTTAATATATATTTTTTTCTCTTAAAAAATATATATTTATGCTTTTATTTAAGTAATCTCTACCCAATGTAGGGTTCCAACTCACAACCCTGAGATCAAGAGTCATATGCTCCTCTGACTGAGCCAACCAGGCGCCCCATTAAACGAGCATTTCTTTATCACCCTTGGTCCATACCTTCCAACAATGTGCAGCTAGTTGTTTTATGGTGTCTTATTCTTCTTCACCCTCTCCAACTCTCCCCTCCCCACTTATGACCAAAAGGGCAGAAAACTCTTCCAATTTTAATTTATATCCCTAATTAAAAAAAAAAAATTCACTTGCCATATGCTAAGCACCTGCTAGGGATGGCAGAAGGAAGTTAAACATGTATGGTTGCACCTCCTACGTGCAAGAACAACAGGTTGCTATTGCTATTCTAGGGATGGGAAATATCTCCTCAAAGACAATCAGTGTACTTGTGCACTACTCTGGACCCAGGTGTGTTTGTCTTCATTGCCAAGTTCTTTCCACTTACACTGGCCTAGTAGACATGACCTAAACATGAATGAATATTGTCATCCAACAGGTTCACAAAAAGGATGCCTAACATTCAAGAGCACCATGACAAGCATTTTACTTCCATCACTTCATTTAATTTCCACGATACTACTGAATTATGTCTAATACACTCAGTTTACAGTTTTAAAAACTAAGTTTAATGAAATGGATTTTCCAGGCTGGTCCAAGCGCAGAGGTGTTTACAATTAATTGATCACAGCCAGTTACGGATTTCTTTGTTCCTTCTCCACTCCCACTGATTCACTTGACTAGCAGAAGGAAGGAAAGAAGGAAGGAAGGAAGGAAAAAAGAAGTGGAGTTTCCAAAGTCACACACCTAACAAGTGGTGGAACCAAAACAGTCTCATAACCCCAAAGCAGATCTCCACCATTGAACCATCTCACTGTACTGCAGGGAAAACATTCTTGACCAGCTTTATGAAATTCAAGCCCCTCTCCTGTCACAAATAATGCTCCACACGTCCCCTCACGCTCCCCAAATCTACCGGAAGCACCACACTTAAATCCCCAAGACAAGTGTCGGTAAACTGGTGTCTGCACTCAAACCAACGTGCCTCGCTTCCTCTGCCCCGGCCCTGGGAGGTGCCACTTGCTAACTCTTCACAGAGCCTAATTCCAGCCAGGGCGGATCTCTCCGGGGCAGGAGTCCAGCCCCCACCCTCCCGGGTCTGCGCCCCTTTGCAGTCCTCAAAGGGGTAAGAGGAGGGGGCAGGCTGCTGGCGCGTCCGAGCCGAACCCGGTGACTCTGAGGCCGGCCCGCAGGCCCGGGGGCGGCGGAGAGCGCAAGGCGACCAAAGGGGACCCTCCTTTACTCCCGCAGGCCACCAACCACCGCAACCGGGAGACATACCTGGGGACCCCCGCCCCCCCCACCACTTTCTTTAAACTCTGAGCTCACTGGAGAAAGAGGAGGGGGACAAGCCGAGACGACAAAGTTCGCCACCCCCACCCAAAGTTCTATACTCTAGGGAGGCAAGTGAAGCAAAGCGGTAAGAGAGGTGCCCCAGGAAGACCCCCTCCGGTCCCGGCTTTCCGGAGGCCGCAGGAGAGGGGGCAACGCGCTCCCTCTGGGTCTCCTCCCCCAAGCAGAAGGCGCCCTGGGGGCACCGACGGAGCAGCGCCCCCACCTCCGACACCGTTCTCCCCGGCCGGGAGGCCCCCCGGGAGTGGGGGACGTCGGCCCTCAGACGAAGAGGGGTCTCGAAGGAACCCAGCTAGGTCGCACCGTACCTTTTTCTCGCGCGCCGGACGTCCGCGCCGCAGGGACCGCTGCCGGCGACAGAGTTGGGGGCGAGGGCAGACGACCGGGAAGGGTTCCCGCAGGCTCCGGCGGCCCCTGGGCCTCGGCGCCGCCCAGCGCCGCGCCTCCAGCCGCCCGCTCGCCAGGCTGCGCTGCCGGCTCCCGCAGGTTACCTGTGGCCGAGCTCGCCGCGCCCGCCGCCCGCACGGCCCAGGCCCCGCCCCGGCCGCGCCTCCTAAACTGAGGCCGCAGCGCCGCACAGCGGCCTGCGCCCGACATGGCGGGGACCTGTGGGAGGCGGGGCCCGAAGGCCCCGGGGCAGCCCCTGGGGCCTCCCTGGGCTGCAGGCCGCTGCCAGCTGGGGCCGGGGTCCCTTCCTTGTCCGCCCGGGAGGCCTCCTTCTGAAGACTGGGAGGGAGGGGGGCTGCGGTGTGGTGAGCTTTTCCGGGCACGGGTCGCCAGGAGGTTTACTGGGCCGGGGGGAGAAGGGAATTGGGAGGAGAAAACCATGCCTCACCCTGTGGCCAAATGGATATTTCAGTATATTCTTCGTTCATTCTCTTAACTGGAATGGCTCAGTGGGAGCTCAACAGTGATGAATGAGGCAGATTCATTAGAGAGCTGGAAAGGGTAAGGAAGCCCCTATTCCAAAGACCTTGTCTGTAAGTAGCTTGTCAGAACCATCCCATATGACACAGACAAAAGCATTGAGCATTCCTGACTCCTATATTCAAATCACACTTTACACACCATTAACTTGGTCCATTTTTGTCTGTTTTTCACAGTTACTTCTTCAGCACCTAGAAGAGTTCCCTGAAGATAGTGAGCATTCAATAAAGTATTATCGAGTGAATGCGTGAATGAATGGAACCTCATTCAGCCTTCTGAAGAAACATGACTGCTAACTGCTGCCCAAACACAGCAGGAGGGCGAGATGAAACCCTAGAATGGAGTCTCAGTCTTACCTGAGGTTTGGGACAAGCTTATTTTGAACCTGATTTTGCTGATCTGTTTTGAAATAGGCCTGGTTTCCATAGGCAAAGAAACGTGATGATCTCCGTTTTCTTAATATATTTGTCTCCCTCGCTCTTTCAGGGAGCATTAGGTAGGAGAGATCCAAACTCACACCAGGAAAGGGTAAGAGCTTGGTTTTCCTCTACAATCTCAGAATTTCCCCACCCCATAGCCCATACCTGCAATTTTTCTTGGCAGGGTGTGAAACCTCTCCTGAGTATGCTTTGACCCTCTTCAGGTTTGTTCCCATCCCTGTCACTCTTCATCTAGAGCTGTTAGGACATGTTTCCTTTCCCTGCCCTTTGGTAGCTCTGGATTTCTCTCCGGGCAAGTCACCAGAAAATTACAGGTGAACCCCCGAAGTCAAGATATGTATGCATGACTTTTCAACCTGATCATTTCTTTCTTATATGTTTCCAGATTAAAGAGTTTTCTTAGCCATTCCCCTGAATGAACTTCCAGAAATAAAGAGTGCTCCCTTCCTCTGAGAGGCCTTTAGAACACCACCATAAAGTCGAAATGAGATGGAGTTTTAAGTTACATTTGTGGGCAGTCAGAGCAATCACACATTAATTCTGCTGAAAGGAACAGAAAACTGGCCCATAAAACATGTGAATGCTCCTGGAAGCCAACTGGTCTGTAATTATTCCTAGTGGGAATTCCTGGCAGAGGGACCTCATGAGAGCCAAAGCGGACAGTGGGTGAGCTGCTTGGAGATCTTGTTTGCTTATCTCCATGTGGGCACACAGTCTTTGGAAAACTAATGAAAAGAGACTCTAAACCTCCCTCTATATGAGGAAGGCTCCCAGCCTACAGTTCCATTCTTGTACCTCTGTTCAGCTCAATCAAAGCCAGCCTCATAGATCCACCTCACTACATCCTCTTTCTGCCTCATGAGAAAAAAGTCTGTTCTGCCAATGATAGTTTTCCCTGCGTTCTGAGAATATAACCTGCTCTGATTGCCAGCAACATTTCCTTAATGAGTTGGCTGCACTAGCTGTCTTTCATGTCATTAGCTTCACTTCATCCTTCAGCCCACCATTCCAGCTTCTAACCCTGCCACTCCCTGAAACTGCCCTTGCTAAGGCTTCTACCCGGGAAACCTTCCATGTGCCTCTCCATGATCATATCCTCCTTCTCCTCTAGAGGAAACCACCATACTAAATTTTGGATTATCTTTTTTGGCTTTCAGCTTGGAGCAGGTGAAGGTGCAACTCACTTCAGTCATCCCAAATCCAGGTTCATCTGACACCAGCTGCGTCCACCATGACGCCTAAGTTTGACCCCAATGAGACCAAAGTTGTATACCTGTGGAGAAGTCAATGCCACGTCTGACCTGGCCCCCAAGATCGACCCCCTGGCTCTGTCTCCCAAAAAGGTTGGCACCTGTAATTGAAAGGATCTGAGGATTACAGTGAAACTGACTATTTAGGACAGACAGGCCCAGATTGAAGTAGTACCTTCTGCCTCTGCCCTGATTATCAGAGCCCTCAAGGAACTGCCAAGAGACAGAAAGAAGCAGAAAAACATTAAGCACAGTGGAAATACCACCTTTGATGAGATTGTCAACATTGCCCAACATATGCAGCACTGATCCTTAGCCAGAGAACTCTCTGGAACCATTAAAGAGATCCTAGAGACTGCCTGGTCTGTGGGCTGTAATGTTGGTGGCCACCACCCTCATGAAATAGACGACATCAACAGTGGTGCAGTGAAATGCCCAGCTGGTTAAAAACTACAAAGGAAACATTTCAAAGGAAATATTTCAATGAAGGATCATTTGACAACCAAAAAAAAATGTTGCCTGTGTGTATTAATAATTCTCTTATCACAAATATATATATCCCTAAACACAACATTGTACAGTTTTGCCTAGTTTTGAACTTTTTTTGTAAATGGAATCATTCTGGGGGAGCCTAGGTGGCTCAGTCAGTTAAGTGACCAACTCCTGATTTCAGCTCAGGTCCTGATCTCAAGGTTTGTAAGATTGAGCCCCGTGTAGGGCTCTGCGCTCAGCAGGCAGTCTGCGCGTGCGGGCGTGCTCTCTCTCTCCCGCTCTCTCACTAAAATAAACAAATCTTAAAAAAAAAAAAAAAGGAATCATTCTACATTCTTCCTATGCATCTTGCTTTTCTCACTCAGCATTCTGTTTCTGAGATTCAGCTATTTAATTTCTCTGCTATATAGTGTTTCATTGTAAGAAGATACCACAATTTATTTATCTAGTCTACTTTTGGACATTGTGTTAGCTCCAGTTTTTGCTGTTGCAAAGAGTGTTGCTATGAACACTCAAATATTTCTCCTGATACATGTGTGTAAGAGTTTTCAGGATTATTATCTAGAAGTGGAATGGTTGGGTCTTAAGGTATGTATGTGTTCAAATTTACTAGGTAATGCCAGATTGTTTTGTGTTTTTTTTTTTTTTTAAGATTTATTTATTTGAGAGAGTGTATGTGAGCAGGGAAGGGGCAGAGAGAGTGGGAGAAAGAGGATCCCAAGCAGACTCCACGCTCAGCATCAACCCAGGGCTCCATCTCATGACCCTGAGATCATGACAGAAGCCGAAATCAAGAGCCCACCAATGAACTGACTGAGCCACCCAGGTGCCTCACCAAACTGTTTTCTAAACCAGTTGTATCAATTCTCATTCCCATCAGCAATGTGTTGAAGTTCCCCTTCCTCCACCTCTTTGGTTTGTGTGTGTGTGAAATTATTACTTATTATGGTTGTGATTTATTTTTCCCCAATTACCAGTGCAATTGAACATCTTTAATATTTAATAAATTTTCTTGTTCTCTCTTTTGTTAATTTGCTGTTTCATATAATTTTTTTAAGCTTTTATTTATTTATTTGAGAGAGAGAGACAAAGAGAGCACAAGCAGAAGGAGAGGCAGAGAGAGAGGGAGAAGCAGACTCCCCGCTGAGCAAGGAGCCATTGCTCCATCCCAGGATTCTGGAGATCACGACCAGAGCCAAAGGCAGATGCTTAACCATCTGAGCAACCACGGCGCCCCTGTTTCATGTATTTTGAGAAATCCTTCCTGACCCTGAGGTATAAAAATATTCTTCCATATTTTCTTCCAAAAGTTTTAAAGTTTTAGGACACCTGACTGGCTCAGTCAGTAGAGCATGCAACTCCTGATCTCGGGATTGTGAGTTCAAGCCCCACATTGGGTGTAGAGATTACTTTAAAAAATAAAATCTTGGGGCGCCTGGGTGGCTCAGTTGTTAAGCGTCTGCCTTGGGCTTGGGTCATGATCCCAGGATCCTAGGATCAAGCCCCGCATCGGGATCCCTACTCCGCGGGAAGCCTGCTTCTCCCTCTCCCACTCCCCCTGCTTGTGTTCCCTCTCGCTGTGTCTCTCTCTGTCAAATAAATAAATAAAATATTTATAAATAAATAAATAAATAATAAAATAAAAAATAAAATCTTAAAAAAAAGTTTTAAAGTTTTGCCTTTCACGTTTAAGTCCATATTCCATCTGAAATTCATTTCTCCTCTCATTTGCAATGCCAAAGCTATCTTGTAATGAATTTCCATGTATGCTTGAGTCTGTTTTGGGTTCTCTATTTTGTTCCATTTGCCTATTCCTTTTTTTTCCATTTGCCTATTCCTGTGCTAGTACTATACTGCCTGAAAATTGGTGGTTTTTTAATTAAATCTTGATTTCTGATCATAGAAGTCCTAGCCTGATCTACTTCTTTTTCATAAGAAATCTCAAGTATTCTTAGCTCTTTTCTCTTCCATAAACATTTTAGGATTAGCTTCTCTGGCTCTATGAAAATTTTGTTATTTGTTTTTTAATTTTTTAATTTTTAATTTTTAAAAATTTTTAAAAGATTTTATTTATTTATTTGACAGAGAGACACAGCGAGACAGGGAACACAAGCAGGAGGAGTCAAAGAGGGAGAAGCAGGCTTCCCACGGAGCAGGAAGCAGCCACCTAGGCGCCCCTAATTTTTTAATTTTTTAAAGTAAACTCTATGCCACATGTGGGGCTCAAACTCACAACCCAGAGATCAAGAGCTGCATACTCTAATGAGCCAGCCAGGCACACTTCCATGAAAATTTTGTGATCCTGATTTGAAATCATAGAGAATCTATATGGCAGGTGGCATTTTTTATTCACGATTGTTCTCTTCCTACCTCGCCATGCTTTCCTGTAGTGGTGTAGACTCCTCTGCCCCACTGG